GGGAGAAAAAAAAACCCAGCCATAATCATTTGGTTAAAAAAAAACTTCCATGAATCTTTTCTCAAGAAGTACACATCCAGGAGAGACTTTGTTTCTTTTTGGTGTTTTTCTCCCCATATTTCTTCACCAGCTGTTTCTGTGTGGGAAGAAAATGGTGGCTGTAGTACGTGCTTTCTCTTTTAAAGATGACCCCTTGAAGGTAAAAAAGTGTCTTTTCTGTCTGTCTGTGTTGTAAAAAGAAAGAGCTGAAGGATCTTTTAAGGGGTATTTTATTTTTCCATATTTTAACATTTAGAAATATTAAATCTTCAATGCTCTCTTTCTGTTGGAAGACTCACAGTTCTGGAATTCAGGCATAATTGGAGACTGGATTCAAAGCAGAGAGCAAAAACTTGATTTTGCCTTGTTTTTGTGGGAAAGTTTTATAGTTTATAATTATATTAGTAGAATTTTGACTTGCAGGCAGTTTTACTCCAGTGGCTTTTTTCGGTTTACATTAAAATCCCTTCCCAAGTGACACCGCTATACCGGTTTAAATGTGATATTGGCATAAATTTCCTGTGGAGATAGTGCCTTGTTTAAACTATTTTTAAAACACTTTACATTTTTTGTTTTGGTATTTTAACATCTAATTAACTTAAACTTGACATACAGTTGAAAGAAATGCTCTTTGAAAGATTAACAGTCTTGCATTTTCACTTAAGGACTGAAAGGTCTTTCGATTTCTTTGTGTTATTCAAGGGAGACTTATGGTAAAAGAAAAGAGGACTTCGCATTTCTGATATTTCTCAGGAATAAAACCAAAAGGAAAGGAACACACAAAACAGTATTTTCAGCCCTTTTTAGAACATCAAGGAAACAAACACATATTTTTCCCTTCTTTTAAGACCACCTTTAAAGCCTGGAAATTTAGCTGATGCTCCTTCTGTCATTCATCTTGTTGTACCTGTTGGATTGTATGTCTGATACTTGTGGCCCTTTGTATTCTGCGCTTCCACAACCACACAATTTGGTAGTTTTTTCAAGAACATTTATCTTTTGTTTTAAAAATGTTTCTAGTACACGTGGTCACAGAGAGAAACTTGAAAGTGGGAAACAAGTATACATTGATGGAATGTTGCCTGCCTGAGTCAACAGAGTGCCTGTAGAAACTGTAGCTTAAAGATAGATCATCTGACCCATTTATTTCTGCTAGATACCTGTAGAATGTGTCATTTTTTTCCTAAATGACAGTGAAGGCACTACCTCTGTCATGAAATTCACCAGTTTTGTTTTGTCTTGTTGCCCAAGAGGAATCTTCCTGCTTGGTTCCTGCATTGTTCAGTCACCAGATATCAGTGGGTTAGAACTAGAGCCACAGTTTAGCTTGCAGTTGGAAGTTAAGGGAAGTCAGGTTTGTAGGCAGGCAGGTTGGATTGCCTAGAACAGGGGTTTTCAACCTTTTTTTTAAATAAGTGTACCCTTTCTGACTCAGTTTCAACTCTTTTTAAGGGTGGGGGCAGATTGAGGTCTCCACAGTGAGGGAGGGAGTGGGGCTGGGGCATGCGCTGCACAGCCACGGTGGGGCAGGCGCAGGACAGAGCTGTGAGTGGCTTGTCCATGAGGGGATGGTGGCCCCCCTGCTGCGCATGCCCCAGGAGGGCATCGGGGGGGGTGCCCTCGGATCTGCAGTTGGGGCAGGCTGGGGCAGCACTGGGTTCTTCCCAGCGGGGAGACAGGCCAGGCCAGGCTGTGCTAGGGGCAGGCAGCGGCGGCATT